CCAGTCTGGGTAGGGGCATCTGCAGGTGGGTTTAGCCCTAATCAGTTGCAGATGGAACCAAGGAGGAGCTCAATGTGGTGTAGGGTTTTCTTTTGCTTCCCTCCCTATCTCACCCCCCACCCCAAAAAAATTTTTTTAAAGGGGGGGGGGGCAGGATTTCATCCAAAGTGCTTAGACTCTATATTGATTGGTGCTAAATCAATACCTGACCTGGAAAATACAGTAAATGAACTTTAACTCAGTATTCGGTATTTGCTTAAATTTTCAAAAAGGATTAATGGCTTGTCTATATGAAGAGTTAGGCTGTGCATCTACAGAGCATCAGCTTGCACTAAAAGGGGAGTAGTGAGCTCTGATGTACAGCTGTTTGAAACAGGAGCGCTGCAGCAAGTTTCACATGGAGGCTTCATGTGCAGTGACCTGGTACAATAGAGTCCTCCCCTTCCACTAGCTGCCCATGAGCATTCTGTGTGGATAAGCCCTACTCATTTTGGGTGCCCCGTGGTTTTGTTTCCATTACGAGATACTGCGAAAGGGGTAGATTTTCAAAAAGTGCTGAGCGCCGTTCACTGAAAATCAGGTGTCTCAAGCTGGCCATCCAAAATGATTGTTGCAACTGAAAATTTCAGCTCCTGTTTTGGAGGGTCTTTCATTTTTAATAGATGACATTGCCTGCTATTGACGTTGTCTGGTGTCAGAGAATGTGGAAAAAGGAAATTTAACCTCAAAAATAGTAAAGGGGCAGCAAAAATTTGCTAATTTACATAATAACGTGTCCAATAATGTGAAAATTATGAATGATAGAGCTAAATCCAGAGGTCCTGACTTAGGCAATTTCTGTATCCAATTTAATGGGAGTTTGACTGAGTCAGTCTAACCAACTGGTGAGTTGCAGGTTCCTTCTCTACCCGATCCACAGAGGAGGTGAGTATATTACAGCACCACCATGCGTTGGCTCTTCAGCTCAAATTATATAGCAGCTCATGCTATTGGCTCTGGAAGTCAGGCCCTAGTGTCAGCTAAGATAGCATCTGTCCCATCAGGACCTTACCATTTGGCTCCACAAAGAAGAAATGAATTTGTGGCGCAGATAAAACAGACTGTGTAGCCTTTTTTTAATAACAGTGGCTGATGAGAACACACCCGCAACTTCAGAAAACATTCCGGGCCATTTTGCAGTAGGAGGAAGAGTAAATCTCTCCAGGTCTCCTCTTCAGCTGTGAAGAGAGTCTTCTGCAGCATGTTATAGGGCTCCCAAGCTACCTTTACGCTGCAGTAATGTTGCCTCCACAGTCTGTGGCAGAGCACAGATGATGAAGTGACTGACCGAGGCCAGCCGGATGGAATGGACTGCAAGGGAGGATTTTAAATACATATTGGATCTCCCTGGTCCGGCTCCCTTGGGACCTGACTGGTCCCAAACAAGGGGATTTGCCGGACCAGAGGAGGTCCCTTCCTTCGTGGCCTGTGCTGCCACCCAGTTAGGGCTCCAGCCTGCCCCTACCCCTCCAGGGGCTCTCTAGATGTCACTGGCCCCTCTCCTGCTGGGGTCAGAGCTCCACAGCCGCCTGGCTCTGCAGCTAGGGCGGAGGCAGAGGGACGGGGCTGTGGGAGAGGGACAAGCGCTCTCTGGCTACTGCGGGGCTCGGCGCTCCTCGGCCGCT